AGTCTCCCGAGTAGCTGAGATCACAGGCATGCACCACCACGCCTTGCTAATTTTGTATTTTTAGTAGAGACGGGGTTTCTCCATGTTGGTCAGGCTGATCTTGAACTCCCAATCTCAGGTGATCTGCCTGCCTCAGCCTCCCAAAGTGCTGATATTACAGGTATGAGCCACCATGCCCAGCCTCACTTTTTTTAAATTAATAGAGATGAAGTCTTGCTATGATGGCCAGGCTGGTCTTGGACTCCTAGCCTCAAGTGATCCTCCCACCTCGGCCTCTTAAAGCACTAGGATTACAGGCATAGGCCACCATGTCCAGCCTGTTTTGCTTTCTTATCATTCATGTATTCACTGGAGTAGCACTTATAATTTCCTTCAAATACTCTGCCTTTGCATTCACAATTTGGCTGTCTGGCACAAAAGGCATAGCTTTTGACGTGCCTTCTTCACGAAGCTTCAACATTTCCAGCTTTTGATTTCAAGAGACATGTGACTCTTGGTTTCACCTGAATACTTAGAGGCCACTGTAGGGTTATTAATTGGCTTACTTTCAATATTACTGTGTCTCAGGGAATAGGGAGGCCAGACAAGAGTTGGGGGAACAGCCAGTCAGTGGAGCAGTGAGAACACACACAACATTTACTGATGAAGTTGCCGCCTGATATGCGTGTGGTTTGTGGCACCCCCAAACAATTTTACAACAGTAACATGGAAAATCGTAGAACACCAAAACAGACAAAGTTTGAAATATTGCAAGATTTACTAAAATGTGACACAGAGACACAAAGTGAGCATATACTGTTGATGTAGGGTTGCCACCAACCTTCAATTTGTTTAAAAAAAAAAAAAAAAAAAAAAAAAAAAAAAAAAAACAAAAAAAAAAAAAAAAAAAAAAAAAAAAAAAAATTATCTGTGAAGTACAGTAAAATGAAACACAATAAAAGTATGCTTATAATTCTACATATAATTTCTGCAATGCTTTACAGCTGTACAAAGAAAAAAATGTCTACAATCATTTCTGTTGTGTAGCAAATACCACAATTACTTTTGCACCAACCTAATATTTAAAATGTAAGCAAGTTATAGGTCCAAACCTGTGTGTCGCTCTAGCCAACTTTGAGTTCATCTCAATGAGAAATAACTATTATTTCTTTTTCAAAGTATCTATTTTTTTTGGAAATGGGGTCTTGCTCTGTCGCCCAGGCTGGAGTGCAATGGTGTGATCTCAGCTCACTGCAACCTCTGCTTCCCAGGTTCAAGGAATTCTCCTGTTTCAGCCTCCAGAGTAGGTGGGATTATAGGCGCACACCACCATGCCCAGCTAATTTTCGTATTTTTAGTAGAGATGGGGTTTCACCATATTGGTCAGGCTGGTCTTGAACTCCTGACTTTAGGTGATCCACCTACCTTGGCCTCCAAAGTGCTGGGATTACAGGTATGAGCCACAGGTACAGCACCCAGCCTTAACTATCTATCTTAAAAAAGGACTTATCTTCGGCCAAGCGCGGTGGCTCATGCCTGTAATCCCAGCACTTTGGGAGGCCAGGGCGGGTGCCTCAAGGCTGAGGCAGGAGAATCACTTGAACCCGGGAGGCAGAGATTGCAGTGAGCCAAGATTGCACCACTGCTCTCCAGTCTGGACAACAAGAGGGAAACTTCACCTCAAAAAAGGAAAAAAAAAAAGGACCTATCTTCTTCAAGGAAGAATATCAAAAGGATAATTTTCCTATGGCTTTCTGCTATGAATACCACAGCAGTCAGCTGATCTTATCTCTTGTCAAACATTCTGCACTAGGATCTTAAGGATTCTTTCACTGGTTTACTACCTTTAATATAGTTAACATTTTAACCTTGGAACATGGAATCATTCTGAAGATGCTCTACCATGTCTTAACTTACTGGATCCCATTTAGTCACACCATATGACACGACATGTTCTCCCCATAGGGCAATTTTCTTTTTCTTCTATGGTACCTTTATTTATTTTTCCAGTTAGCAATGTAAGCTTTCTTGGGCTTGGCCTTTAATCTGTAGTATACATCTTTTTCAAGGCTTCTAAAAATGTGTTTTTAAGAATCTCTAGTTAATTAATATTATTCAAACATTTAGTAAAATGTGAGGCACTGTTCCTGTACCAGACACATAAAATTCTACCCCATCCTTAAAACATCTACATTGCAACATAGAGCTACTTCTTTAAAATATTCTAAGCCCATATTTTCTGTTCCTTTTTCTAAAGATGAATAATCATACAATAGATCATTCTGGCTTTCTCCCTTCTGATAAACTGCTTGAATGTTGAATATGTCCTTAAATGATGATTATTATATCCTGATTTATCCACAGACCTCTCTGCTCACTAACTGAAACTAACCCCAATACGTATGTGCTGTGTATATAAAAGGATTATCATTTATGGATTGTCTCTGTTATTAATCAGGTCACAAACATTCATTCATTAAATCATTACACCACAGTAAAATATGTATTCCATGTTACAGACGAATAATGGTAAGGTTTAGCAGGTTAAGTAATCATCCCAGCTTCATACCAAGAGGAATTTGAATTAAATTCCTTTGATTCAATCCTTTATTGAATCTAGATCTATTTCCTACAATAATCAGAATAAGGTGGTATTTCCAACAAAGGTTTCAATGAAACCACAAATCCAAGAAAGAATGGCCATCTACAGTAGACTTTGATAACAAAATTTGGTGCTTGCTTTGGCAGCACATACACTAAAATCAGAATAATACAGAGAAGATTAGCATGGCCTCTGCATAAGGATGACATGCAAATTCATGAAGCATTCCATTTTTAAATTAAAAAAATTTAAATAAATTTAGATTCAGGCAACACACCCATTTTATAAAAAGAATTGTAGGTTTTGGAAATACAGAGAAAACCACACTCCTAATTTTTAGAAGAACATAAGAATTTAACAGAGGCATAAGATTATCTTTTACTTTTCCAGAAGCCCCCAATTTAAATCAGATCCCCATTATAGGGTTGTCAAACATTTTGGTTTCAGGATCTCTCTCCCTCTCTCTCTCTCTCTCTCTTAGTGCACGCGCTCGTGCGTACACACACCACACACACCTTTTTTTTTTTTTTTTTTTTTTTGGAGATAGGATCTCACTCTGTAGCCCAGGCAGGAATGCAGTGCATGACCACAGCTCACACAATCTCAAACTCCTGGGCTCAAGTGATCGTCTCACCTCAGCCTCCCACGTAACCAAGCCTACAAGCACACACCATCAGGCCTGGCTAATTTTTAAATTTTTTTGTAGAGATAGGGTCTTGCTATGATGGCTCTTCCTGCACTGGCCTCCCGGAGTGTTGGGATTACAGGTGTTAGCTACCACACTTGGCCCCTTCATACACTTAAAAAGTATGGAGGACCCTAGAAAGCTTTTATCTACATAGTTTATCGCTATCAGTATTTACTACATTAAAAATTATAACCAAGAAATGTTTAAAACTCATTTTAAAATAACAAAAAACTCATTAACAAAAGTGATCTATTTTTAAATGAATAAAACAAACAAACAAACAAAACCAACCACATTTTCCAAAACAACGAAAAATGAGAAGGCAAAGTGGCACTGATTGACTGATTGATTGAGAGACAGTCTTGCTCTTGTCATGCTGGCTGGAGTTCACTTTAACCTCTGCCTCCCAGGTTCAAGCAATTCTCCTGCCTCTCAGCCTCCTGATTACAGGGAAGGATTACAGGCGTGTGCCACTATGCCCAGCTAATATTTGGATTTTTGGTAGAGATGGGGTTTCGTCAACTTGGCCAGACTGGTCTTGAACTCTGACCTCAAGTGATCTGCCCACCTCGGACTCCCAAAGTGCTGGGATTACAGGTGTGAGCCACCGCACATGCAGCCCCAAAGTGGCTTCAAAAAAATTTTTTTTTTGCCAATTTAGTTAATGTCTGCCTTAACAAAAGACATCTGGATTCTCGTGCCTTCTGTATTCAATTTGTTGCAATACCATACATCCTATCACTACTATATACTCATACGAATGAGAATGAAAAGGCAAATAATATCTTGGTAGGATTATAAAAATAATTTTGACCTCAAGGGTCATAATAGGGTTTCAGAAACCTGCAGGCACCCTTTACTATTCCTTCATACCTCTTACTAATATTTAGTTACATATTTGTGCCCAGATTTTGTTCAAAGTCTGTGTTACAATGTAGATTCCATAAATGTAGCAATTGTGTCTATTTTTATATGTGGATATGTCCATATTGTCTACACATAGTACCTGGCACATAGTCAATTACAAACATTTATTGAATAATATACTATAATGTGATAGTAATATAAACTACTATGGCTAAAAGAAGATAAATGTGCAATATCAATCTGGAGGCAAATTTGGAAGGTTTCATTCGTATTTGATCTGGATCCTAAACAATGAGTAGGATTTTGTTAAGCGTATGTGGGAGCAAGAATATTTCAGCCATAGTAAACAATCATCAGTGGCATCGAGGTAGAGGATATGTTCATGATACTTACTGCCAATAGTTTGGTATGCTTATAGCATAGGTGAGTAGGAGTTTAGGAGGAGATAAAGATAGTAAGAGGAGACTGAAAAATCTTCAACGGAGTTTGGATTTTGTTTTAGAGGCAAGGATCAAATGTTCTGAAACATCCATTGTTTCAGTTCCTCACAGTACCATTTATTAGATAGGCTTGGATAAGTTTATTCTAAATCTTATTCTGCTCATACTTCCTTCACAGGGTAATGGTAATAGTTTATGACATAATCACTTCATGTGTCACCTTGTTTACTGTCATGACTCTAGTCAAAATTATCATCCGTTCTCTCTGAACTACTACTACTTACAAAGGCATCCTAACTGGTTTTCCCACTTCTTTTGACCTAACTCCTATTCTGCTCTCATCCATTCTGTAGTCAGAGTGGAATCTGTAAAATACGTCACTGATTCACAACACTCCCCTTGCTTAAACCCTTTAATGTCTCCCCAGTCACTCAGAATAAAACCTAAACTTCTTGGTATAGAGTGCAAGATCTGAAACGACCTCATCCTAGCCTACATCCTGCCTCATCAGGCACTACTCACTCTGGCCATACTCAATAAGCTCAATCACAATTTCAGCAGCAGAGCAAAGCCTTCACACATGCTATTCCTTCTTCCTGGAATACTCTTTGCCCAGCACCTTTCTAAACTAAGCACAGCTTCTTCAGATAGTTTAAATCTCACTTTTTCAAAAGAGCCTTTCCTCATCACCCTCCTCCCAATCTATATTTGATCCTCATTAAGCTCTCCCATCACCCTATATTTTTTATTTTGGCAAATATCACAATTCAGAATTCATGTGTGCGTATGTATGTATTTTTAAAATAATTTGTTAAATGAACAACTGATTGCAGAGACCACATCTAAACCCAGGACATAGTAAATTTTTAATGTAGTTTTTATTGTTATAAATGGCTTTTGATCTGATTAGACATTACATTTTAGGATGTCTAATCTGGCAATAATGTTTATGTTAACCAACAAGCCAGAGAAGTACTGGAGGCAGGGAATCCCATTAAAACTATGCTACAATTATAGACAAGAAGTAATGAGAGTCTGAACTACTGCTGAGGAATACTCTCACAACAAACCTGTAAGGTAGCAAGAAGGAAGCAACAGTTTTGAGAGTAAATTACCATTCCAAAACAGAAAGTTTGAAAACTTTGTATTATAATTCAGCTGCAAGTTTAGACAACCACATAAGTCGGCTGCTGAGAGAAACTGTAGTTCCAACTCCACAAGTAACTCATAATAATTCCAACACTGGTACGGTGCAAAAGAAGCCCCTATAGTCAATGTAATTATGTCCAGTGGCTAATTAACTGAAAAGGTCAGGGAATCATGAGGAACGATAAACACAGGCCTTGAACATTTTAAATACTTAAAACTGTAAAATGAACATTCATTCTCTAATCTTTGATATAGGACCAACAATCTTCCTTTAAATATAATTCACATCAGTGGAGAACACCAGTTAACCCGATGAGTTGGTTAGGTGGAGGTCAGTTCAGAGAGCTAAAATTACTTTTCCTTTTTGAGTACTATGGTTGCAATGACACAAACTGAACAATAAGTTACAATGTGATGGCCAAATGAGTGGCTTACAAATAGGTATGCACATACACCTGAGGACCTGTAGGAAGACTCTTTGTTGGGGATATAGGTAGGCTACATTATTTAGTTAATGTATTCATCTAGAAAATTAGAAAAAGTCAGCATTTGATATTTATTTATTTTTTGGGATCCAGGGTTTCACTCTGTGCCCAGGATGGAGTGCAGTGGTGTGATTACAGCTCACTGCAGGCTCAAACTTTTGGGCTCAAGCAATTCTCCCACCTTGGCCTCCCAAGTAGCAGGGACTACAGGTGCATGTCACCACGCTCATCTAATTTTTTAAATTTTTCAGAGACGAGAGTCTTGCTATGTTGCTTAGGCTGGTCTCAAACTCCCAGGCTCAAGTTATCCTCCCCATCTTGGCCTCCCAAAGTGCTGGGATCACAGGTGTGAGCCACCGTGCCTGGCCTCAGCATTTAATATTTACATAGGTACCCTAACTTACGGTTAGTATCAGAGATGTGACACATATAGTCAAGAGGTCTGCTGAAGACTGGGCATTTCATACAGCAGAACACTTGACAGTGGCACTCTCCTCTTTCATTTGTCTTACTGTGACATACTATGACTCACATATACTGATTTAAGTAAATGTATGGATTGGATTATGTTACCGAGTTTTAACTAAACCTTATAGAATGAACAAGTGAATAAAAGAATTCCTACAAACAGATCTCAAACTTCATACTGAAGAAAACATTATTGCTGCTAGAGAAAAAAAAAAAATCAAAATTAACACTTTCCTTACTCTAGCACATGCTGTTTGTCATCCATAATACAGGATAAAAACAATGATCTAATACAGTGGTTCTTAACCAGAAGTAATTTTGCCTCTCAAGGCATTTGGTAATGCCTCACAGCATTTTTGATGTTTCTACTGGGGGGTAATATTGTCATCTTGTGAATAAAGGCCAGGGAAGCTGCTAAACATCCTACAATGCATAGGATCCCCCCATCCCCCAGCAAGAATTATCCACTTCAAAAACATCAACAGCACCAGTTGAGAAACCCTAACCTAATAATCCCTGACAAGAAACTGGCTGTTTAAAAAATTATCCAAATTACTTAAAATATGAATTTGTACACACTATTATAATGATCAACCTTGGCCTAATGGTATGTTGCAATTTGAAATATTAGCTAAAGACCAAAAAACACTTCATAATTTCACTTTTAGCTTGGCTTTTTAAAAATTCATGTTAACAAGTTCATATTTTATAAAGTATTATCATTTTCTTCAGTGGCACACATATAGCATAAATAAAACAGATATGTACTGGGGTAATAGCTCACTTTTTTAAATGATAGAGCACAAAATTTTTAAGTCTGGAGACTACTAACTCAAATACTGAAGCTAACAGATATCAGTGTATTAATACAAGCGAGTTTATTAAAATTCAGATTTAAAATCCAAACCAAAAGAAAAAAGAAATGAAGAAAAAGAACCTGGTAATGCAATGTTTTATTTTCTAGGGCTACCACAGTCCAGGGTACTAAGCAGATTCAAGACAATATCCAAATTCAAACCATCAGCCGAAAGGTGTAAAGAGAGCAACATGTCAACTGTGGTTAGTAATCTCAAGAAAACAGATGTTGTACATTATATGGTAGGAAGCAAGGGGGCTCCAATAGCATGGAAGTTAATGGCA